GTGAATTGTGTTTTCATGTGTAATTCGAAAAGTTAGTCGGAAATCGAAAATAAGAAATAAAATTGAAGATGCAAGTTACTATACAAAAATTCATTATTTTCAGATTACGATTCGATCTGACAACGACTCTAGTTCAGTAATGTGAACAATTAATTAATCAATCGTTAATATAGATTAACGTGTAATGATTACTCATCGTAATAATAGTAATAACTTAATAATAATAGTTAATAAGTTAATAATAATAATAATAAAACAAATATTTTATTAATAATAATAATAATAATAAGATTTACGATTAATGTGATTATTCAATTAATCTAGATTCACGATTAATCGTTAATCAGTTTACCATCAATGAGTAAATGTTAATCGATTGGAATTTGCCCATCTGTGCATAAAGGCTCTGCCAAGCATAGGCCGGAGATTATGTAGGACATATGTGCCCAGGTCTCTGGTTCCTCCTGACTTAGTCGGAATGTTTCTGTTTCTGCTTTGCCCATCTTCTGTATGGTGAGGGTGAACAGGGCAGTGGATCTAGAGGCCTATGATTTTTCCCCAATCCTGCCTGCTGATAGGTGTTCCTTCGCTTCCCTTTTTGAGAGATTTATAAATCTCTTAGCTTGCCTCCTACCTAGTGCGTTTGCCCAGTGCTTCACTTTTTCTTCCTCAATCCATTTTTAACTACAACAGATCTAACTTAAGCACACACTTCGATGCGTTAGTTGTGACTCTGGTCTCATGGATGAGAGAGGTGCCCCGTTTTTGGCTTAGTTGGACAGACTGTTAATTTCCTTATATGCATTCATGTCCAGGAACCACTTCAAGGTTATCTTATTCGATTTCCCAGAGTCATTAGGCAATTTAGACACTTCCGGATAAGTTTGGAGTTGAAAGCATTTAGTGCCTACACGGCTGCCTGGCCGAACAGAGTTTGCTTGGACTTCAGCTTTGAAAATCGTTGGGGTCCAAGGAGCTTCGCTTAGTTGTAGTTCGGCCCTTTTATCCCTACGCCGTCTCCTGGTCCGTCCTCCATCCGTGTACCATATGAGGGCTTCTTTTGAATCTTAAGGCCACCTTTATTCCAGATCCCTATTATCTACGCTCATATGGAAATGCATGTCAAAATTGACTTTCATTTTGTCACATACCGTTATAATTCACACATGTTTACATTTCTTTAAAAATAATCACCGAGGATAAGTAAAGTCCCGTTACATTAATGGGAATAATTGATTGGTACCTCTTACCTATACTTGAGAGGATAGTAAATGAAGCGGGAGTAAATAATAATGGGCCATTTTTTTTAATTCATTCTTAAAAATACATCTGTTTGGGATATGGTTTCTGGTCAAGTAGAGAATAAGGTAGAGAATCTGTGATCACTTCCCAAGCTTTCGGCCTTTATAAAACCATCATCAGGGCAGCATCCTACTTCTCATCTTAACATTGCAGAATTACGAAAAAACCCGATGACATCGACTACAAGGTCTCGAAGTACAGAGATTGGTTAAGTTGAACTAAGACAAGTTTTTTCTCTTTTTTCAAGGATAGTGGTCTGACCAAATTAAAAATCCAGTCGATAAGAAACGTTATGCGTAGATAATTTAAAGGTAATTTGGGGAGATCACTATCCTTGAAAAAACAGAAAAACTTGTCTTAGGTCAACTTAACCAACCTCATATACTTCGAGACCTCGTAGTCGATGTCGTGGGTTTTTTTTCGTAATTTTGCAATGTTAATATGAGAAATAGGATGCTGCGCTGATGATGGTCTTATAAAGGCCGAAACCTTGGGCAAGTGATCACAGAGTCTACTTCTTCCTCTACCTGACCAGAAACCAAATCGCAGACATATTAATCGTCCTGGTCGATTTCTTCTTCATCAACTTAAAAAAAACACATACTCATTCACTACAACCACCAGACCATACTCGCCAAAAAAATAATTCCTGATATTTTTGTGAATAAAGTGAATTTATTTCAAACCGCGGTCTTTACCGGAATGCAACAATTCGCCTGTACAACAACCGGATAGGGCCGTTGAAGCGTGACGCCCTAATCGTAGTTCCGGCGTGTTGAGGACAAAACGGAAGCGGGTTCCCAATTCTATGGCCGTATTTTTTTTTAATGACCGGCCAGCGAAAATTTATTGGGCCGCTACTAACAAAATTTCTCTTTTTCAGAACATACATAAAAAAACCAGAGAAATTAGCACGTTTAAAATAAAAGCCAAGCCCTTGAATTTAAAATGTTCCTTAGATGATTAAAATGATTTCTCTGTCCTATTCTTTCCGCCTGTAAATTATTAATGTTTAACTCAAAACGAAATCTGGAAATAATGTTCCTTTCTTTAAATTAATGTAATACCGTCATTATAACGTAATAACTTATAAAATGAGGAAGTATTTCAAATCGTGTTAGTACATCATTCCATTGCGTATTTTTCAATTTCGATTTGTCGGCATTGCGCTAAAATGGCCACCCGAAGCCGTTGTAAGTGAAAATTATGGGCCGACACCGTAAACCATACAATTCACGAGGTGTGTACAACTCGAATAAAACATGGGTGTTCTGAGCCATAAATTTATAGAAAACACCTTGTAACAAGAGTAATAATTTTAATAAATTTTAATCACATTCATCGATTTTAAAAAGAAAATTTAATATTCGTGTATTTTATGTTTGTATTTATATCATATTTATCTTTGTAGTACTTCATCATTACATTCATTGAAAATAAAATGGCATTTGAATATAAAACTCAGTGCAAATATAAGTTTAAAGAACATCGTTGTATTTTTATTCCTGACCTCTGGTTTTTCATCACTAAATTTAGCATTGGTGTACGTTTACAGAAAATTTTATTAAGCATGATCTTCTTTTTCAGTATTAGAAGTATTGACCACTTTTTCAGTTACGAACACTCCGGATTAGTGTACGGTCTTGACGAAAAAAGCAAATTTAGTTGCTACTGCCAAGCTTTCGACCTATTTTAAGGTCATCATCAGTGCATACATTAATTTCACACATGAAAAACATAAACAATTGATTTAACAATCAATATAACATTTATAATTAATTAAGGTTTTTAGTTGAGATAAAAAGTCAATGGCACGAGCGGGATTCGAACCCACGATCTTCGGCTTGATACGCCGCTGCTCTACCACTTGAGCTATCGTGACCTCGANGGTTGAGATGGGAAGTTGGTGTCCGAGTGGATCGAGGTCACGATAGCTCAAGTGGTAGAGCAGCGGCGTATCAAGCCGAAGATCGTGGGTTCGAATCCCCCTCGTGCCATTGACTTTTTTATCTCAACTAAAAACCTTAATTAAGTATAATAAATTAATTGGTCAAGCGGACCACGAAATTAGTGAATACAATGTAACAATGTAGAACGTACAAAACAATCTTCAATTTGTCTACATTTAAGGTTGTTGTTCAAGGAAATTTGAGATCGCTTGTAAAAAACATAAATATGTCAATCTGTAGACATATTTCAGGTTGTTCTGTAACTTTTATATAGTCATATTGATGGTTAAATCAATTGTACAAATATATTTTTCATGTATGAAATTAATATATGCCCTGATGATGACCTTAAAATAGGTCGAAAGCTCGGCAGTAGTAACTAAATTTGCTTTCTTCTTCAAGGCCATACCTTGATCCTGAGTCTTTTTGTAAATGATCATTTTTCACAACTTAATTTTGTTGTCCGTCGTTATGGAATAATTACTACAGTTGCATTTCATCATTAAGTTTATCATTTTTGTACTTCATCACTAAAATCGCAAATATTTCACGTTTGTTTGATTAAATTCGAATTTATTAAATTGAGTACAAATTTTACTTTGTTCTATAACGTTAATAAAGTACATTATATGTTGTGGACTCTTGACCAAATTACTTCTTTCAATTACTTAATCTTTTTATGTAAGGTTTTGGCTGAAATGAAAAAGTTAGTGTCACGAGCAATCCATTTATGTTTAGAGTTCTAATTGGCTATATTAATTATTTGAATTAATTATTCTTTTTCTTGTTTGTGATGAAATAGCTAGTGTCATGAGCGGGATTCGAACCCACGACCTTCGGCTAAATACGAAGCTTCTCTAACCACTTGAGCTATCGTGACTTCGGACATCAACTCCCCCGAGTGGATCGAAGTCACCATAGCTCAAGTGGTAGAGCAGCGGCGTATTTAGCCGAAGGTCGTGGGTTCGAATCTCGCTCGTGGCACTAACTTTTTCATTTCAACCAAAACCTTACATAAAAAGATTGAGTAATTGAAATTAATAAAGTAATTGTATAAAAATGAGTATTGTATTTCATCAGTAAATTTACCATTATTGCACTTCAACATTAAAATTATGGAAAATTTTACGTTCATGTATTTCATTTCTAAATTCATAGTAAATTTTACTTAGATCTACATCATAATTTGACAATCATGAGTTGTGTAGGGACGATGTATTATGTATTTCATGTTTAAATGTACCACACTCACACGTCACGACACGCAAGAATGGCACAATTACACAGAAGACAAACACTTTGAGCCCTGAAGATGATCTCATTAAAGATCGAAACGTGGGCACGATAAAGAAAATGTTTTTCTGAAACCTACATCACACCAGACCGCAACTCACGATTTCTGAATAATTTAAATTAACCATTATTATACTTCATCGTTAAATTTATGCGAAATTACGCTTATGATTATATTTAATGTTTAACATTACAAAATTTTATTGATTAATTATTACGTGAAAATATTTAAAATAAAACGTCGACCAGTTTGTTGGGCTTTTACTTCAATTCAACACTGAATTTTCATTTATACACTTTATTTATGAGGAATATTATTTTTCGTTTACCAACCAATTATTCTGTATAATTATTTTACGAAACGAAATTTAAAAAAAAAAGTTGATAGAATATTGGCCTGAGAAAAACTGATTTAAAAAACACATTTAAAAATAAAACATTTATTTTTATCACACAGCAAAATTGTTTAAAGCTTACAAAATTGTATTGCATATTAAATTTAAGCTTTTAAGCGAAATCAAATATGTACAACATTATTATACACTTTTGACATTGTTATGAAACAATAATGATATAAAGTAACATATGGAGTATTATATATAAATCATTTATATATTTAATTTATTGTTATAAATCTACTTTTTATCTTAAGTACAAACAATTCAAATATGTATTAATAAAAATTAAGCTAGGACTGGCACTTGGTCAGTTTTTTAAGTGCTTGTGAAGTGCAAAAATACAAACAGACGTGATTTGCGCTATAAAAATGGTAACAAGCACAAAATAGTAGGCTGAGAGTTTTGAGATAAGCAATGGATCGGGATAAGAAGTTGTAGTTTTAATTACGACTAGAGAGGGCTTCTTGCTGTAGGAATTCTCAAAATGATTAATGATATTATTACTATTTTGTCTGTATCAACAAAAAACACTAGAACGTACATTCTGTTTGTGATTGTGGATACAAGTTGAAATATCCGTAAATTTTACAACAAATTATATTTAATAATCAACTATGTCAAACACTACAACGATTGCAAGATAAAAACCATCATGGTTTCATCACTACTAATGGCAAAATTCAAAAAATAAAAGTTTTGCCAATCAATAATAAAACATTTCTTTTTGATTTTTTGTTTATTATTTGGAAGGAGAAACGGAAAACATCACAAATCTATATCGCATTTTTGAGTCTGGGTTGAGTGCTGCTACGAGTATAATATTTTATTTAAAGATCATAAGACTTTGGATTTGGACTATTAACTATTGATGGCATTTCATTTAAATTACCGAGATGAAATTATTGTATATAAATAAATAGACTGTGAGAGTTACGAGCAGAGATGGCATAGTAAAATAACGGAAAACCGTACGGATATAGAATATGCGTGAAATGACTTTAAACTTCACTTATTTATAATACTGATAATTATAGCAACAATAAAACTTTAGAATTATTACATTTTGCAAAATTTGCTTGTTTGACTTTTCAGTTCATGCCTCGCTGTCAATGCGCATCTCTACCTCGATTTCCTCGGGAGTTCTCAGGTCGATAGCAAATTTCGGCGGGTCCCAGACCCTTTCTTTCGGAGCGACGGAACGGACCCTTTTCGAATATTCCTGAAAAGCCGCTGCCAGACAATACGTGAGACGCCTCGCCGACTGCCTCGACTCGCAGACGAAAGCGTGGCACTCGAACGGGTTCCTCGGGTCGCCAGCATCCCTCACGACGATCATCGAGAAGACCCTGGTGTAAAGGAGGTCCTGCACCCCGTAAGATATGATTTCGATTGGGAAAGGTTTCCTCGTGACTCCCAGAGAATTGGCGGAGTGGAGGCTGCACCCTTCGGGAGTCACGGTCAACGACATGACCGGAGGTGCGGTAGCCCCAGGCATCTTGGCCGCCGAAACAAGGGAGTCGACCGGTCCTCTCGTATGCTTGATGCCCCACAGACCCCTGGCCTCTCGACATCCTAGATATTTGACGGTAAACGTCTGGGGTAGTTCTTCTTTTGACACCTCATCCCGGGACATATTCTCCCCTACCTAAAAAATACAAACGTTACATGTTTTCTTTTTTCGTTTTATTTGAATTTAGTAGAATTAACCACAACAAGCAAATACAATGGTGATAGGGAATATAGTTGGCTAGTATTGCCCAGAATAGTAGTGACACCCCGATATAAGTCACCTAAGCATTCACTTGTCACCACTATCACTCGAGTTGAAAAGGCATTTCAGTTAGGGTTGTTTTTTTCCTCTTACTAGTACCCCTAATAAGAGGGAATTTATTTACCACATGCTTTATATGACATATTAAATATGTTTTACAATCAATGATGTATTTATGTACATTTTAAATATAATAATTAGCATTGCTCGTAGATGGCTTGAATTAGCATTACTAAATCTTGAATATTTTAAATTAAACCAAAGTTGAGTTTTTAATAAATAAAAAAAAATCTTAGTTCTAAAAATGTTGGTGGCCATTGTCCTCCTTGTTGTACGTATCAAATCGGTTCTTTCCTTGTCGAACTTGGTACAGACCAAGCCCACAGGCTCATAAATGGTCAACTTCTGCTAGGATAGGCCATGTAAATAAACAATGGAAACTGGGGAGGAGATACAGGCAGATGCCATTCTAGGCATGACAATTGATGCCACTACTTCAAAGTACAACTTTACTAAAACGGACGAAGTTCTGATACCAGAACGGGAAGAATGGGTCAAAGGAAAACGCTAAAGGCAAACTCTTACTGGTATACTGACGGCTCAAAAACCGACAAGGGTACGGGAGCTGGGGTCTTTCGGAAGAACCCCAAGTCCGAACTGACGGTACACCTAGGCAAGTATGCTACAGTTTTCCAGTCTGAAATCATAGCGATTGAACAATGCACCAGAGAAATAAAAAGACTAGAAATACATTCCCGGAAGAAAGCTATTTTCTCTGCCAGCTAGGCAGTACTTAGGGCTCTAGCCTCTGCAGTCGAAGGCAAAGAGTGTTTGGAACTGTTTGGAAGTCAGTGACAGTAATGACCTGATCCTGGCATGGGTCCCTCGACATTCGGGGCATAGAGGCTACGAAAAGTTTGACACGTTGGCCAAAAAGGAGTCCATACTCTCTGGGCCCAGAACCCTACAGTTGCTTAGCAGCATGCCACAAAAGAACATAGATCTTAAAATGGACCCTTAATAAGTCCAAAACCTGGTGGAACAATATCAAAGGCATGAGGCACACGAAGAGATTCATAGAAGGTCCATCTGCACAACTTACAAGGAATTAGTGAAAGGCAGCCACAATTCAGGATGCTGGTTGGACTCCTGACAGAACGCTGCGAAATAAGAAAGCACAATAGGAGTACAGACAGGGTGCAGATACTGCCAGGAAGATGAGGAGACTGCAGAACACATTTTACGTTTCTGTGTAGGTCTATGTATTTATCTGTATCTGTGTGTGTATATCAACACACACACCAGCCTCAAACGAAATCATCCTGAATCGTTAAATTATTCTTAGAAGTAAGTAAATTATTCTTGGAGCACTTCTTCTGGAGACCTGCTTGCAATACTGACACCCCGTATGTTACGTTACGTGCACAGTTAGCAAGCAGTATGTGAGAATATATTATAAGGCGTTGTGGACTATCGGAAAGTGTGTTGAGGATACTGGGGGAATGAGATGACAAGTGAGTGAGAAGTGGAATTTGTTGTATCTTCATTTAAACATAAATTATGTTGAGTTCATGGTGAATGGTGCGATTGGACACATAGAAAGGAGGCCTTGCAACACAACGTTAGGTTTCGAACTGAGAGGATTGGATTCGGTAGGAGATCGAGACTTTGGCTGAGCCCCATATTTCCATACAGTAAATCCATGTCGGTTTAAGTAATGTGTTGTAGATTAGAATTTTATTGTCAAGGAATAGTTTGGATCGTCTGTCTAAGAATCAAAAAAGAAGTTTGTATCTTTTACATATTTTTTGTAAGTATAGTAACTACGCAAATAATCGTTTATTTATAGGTACAAATTGATATTTTGTAAGAAGGAGTTTGTAAACAGTGAACATTGTAGACATTCCGATCATCGTGGTCCGTCAATACACGCTTGTTTCATCTATCAGACGTGTTTCGGGATTTCGCCATCTTCATAGGTGGGTTTGTTCGCCCGAATTAGACTTCTCACGGCAAACTGTGAGAATCGCCTACTGCGGCGTTGTTTGCACTCCGAGGTCAGAACCGCCGTCAAATTCTTCATTCCTGCCCACCGAAGTTAAATTCCAGGGCTATCGACAGCCCTGGTTCACTTCAGCCTACAACGCACGCAATTTTTTTCAACAGATTCTTAAATAGTTTCCGAAAATATAAAAAAATTATTTTATTTAACCTTAGTCACATTGAAACCAAGCATAAATATGCGTTGTAGAATTTACAATACGAACCGCCCGAATGACGAAATTTTCGTATTCTTTAAAATTTCGAGAGTTTTGACCAAGAAAGTGGAACAAAGATTTTGAAAAAAAAATCATAAAAGTAAGTAATTGTAAAAGAAAAAATCTTTAAAAGTTGTTACTTTGTGAACTATTCGAATTACGACACATATTCTACAATGATCACATCTTGATTAATGTTTTTTTCAGCATTACGTTAGTACATTTATTTATTTTTTGCTTTTACTAAAAAATCGGATTTTAATTTGTTTATAGATCAGCCATACTAATTCTCAGTACCCTTGTAACTTTTACGTCTACTTGCCTTCAATATTGCTTGACCGTGTGGCTTGAAACAACAACGATGACCGTTTCAGACGAACGTCCCGCGCGAAGGCCATCACTGACGTCGCGCATTAACAAGTTTCAACTTGAATTATTTGGATAACTTTTAAAACCCTGTAGATTCAGATTTCATAGGGCGGGACAGATGGTGTTTTTAGTTTAAATTTACGTTACTTTAAACAACAAACACGATCAAAGTTCAGTCAATAAAAATCGATAGTCCGGGCAGATGAAGTAAGGCGATTCTTAGACCTTTGAGTAAGCAAAAATGACATTTGGTACAACACGCACGTACACAATCAGTTAAAGAATATAAATCCTTTTCTTATACCACGCAAATCCAACGTGAAGGTAAAGGGTCTTCAAACATAATATTCCATACACATGAACAAGGCAATTAGAAAAATACATTCAGGTATGAGCAAGAAATGTACTGTAATAAAAACCAATTTTGAACTACTTAAATGAAATTTTGAATAACCTAAATACCACTAGGGCATACGACAGAACGAAACACCATCGCGAACCATCTTATCGTATGTTCTTTTGTGTTTTATTGCTTTTAATTACAGACAGTAGTAGTTTCGATCACTTTTGTACCATTTTTCAGTTATATATTTGCATTGGCAAAGATGATTTTGAACACAAATAAAAACATTTTTCTAACCCGAACCCGCGTATGTGTTCGGCAGGTAGAAAAAAGTCACTCGATGTGTCCCACTTGATTGAAGGGTGAATTCCTTGGCTCCTTATATAGAGCGCGTAGGAATGCCACCCGATTTGAGAAATGAACTTGTGCACGGCAGGGAGTATCTAGGTCCCCTGTTCCGATTCTTGGAGGAAACATGGTTGTTTTATTGTATATAGTTTTGTCTCTATAATGTGCGTTCAGAGTGATTGTGTAGTAACACAGTTTGGGTAATTATCGATACTCCACCACCCTACTTGAGTGAATGGTATGTAAATAGGAAACAATATTTTTAAGAATAAGTTAGTGTGTGAGTGCTTCTCGGTTTAAAAACTGATGCGTTAGGGCTGAAATGACCTATTGTGAGAATTCCTCTTGTGGTTTAACGGGTAGATGGTCTTGGTCTGCCTATCCTCGCTGATTTTTGTTAACTGAGACTCGTTTTGGCATTTTAACTGGTCCTGTCAACCTAAGTAATTATTTTAATGTATTTACTATTTTATATGTAATTGTGTATGTTTTTATAACTTTTCGAGTATGTTCATTTTTTACCCTTTTTGTACGTTGTACAGTAGGTGCTTGTAGTACATCGAAGGTTCTTTGTTATTTTCTATAAGGTGAGTAGCGTAATTTTATTTTCTTCGTTGTACCTAAACGGTATGTTCTTTGTATTTGTTTTTTTAATTTTCGCCATATCAGTCCGATGTATTGGGTTGTCCGGAAAATAATGCAGGATTTTAAGTTTTCATTAAAAAAAATCTATATAAAATATTCTGTTTACGTTTACAGGATTACTCATTTGTNTTTGATTAAAGAACATTGCTTTAAAGTAACTAGTTTCTTTTTTTTTGTTTAATACCAAAATCCTGCATTATTTTCCGGACAACCCAATATATGTCTCTTGTCGATGTTTTGTCTTAGTAATTTTCCTATTGTGTTTATGGTTTGTAGTACTTTTATGCCTAATTTGTTGAAAAAGTTAGTTCTATTTAGCCTATATTTTTGAGGTATTGTTTTGGTGGAACTTTTTTTGTTTATTACTTTATTGAATGCGTTTGTGTTATAGCTGTTGTTCTGTGCTATGGCTTGTGTACTTTTTAATTAGTATACGATTTTGTCTTTGGCTAGTCATGTTTTTCAGTGCTGCTATTTTGTGTTGGGTTGGTTGTTTTGTATGATGTACGATCGACTTGTATGATGGCAGTTGCTGTCGGTTTTCGGTATATGTCGAACTGTAATTTTTCATCTGTTTTTGAGATTACTAAATCAGGAAAGTTTATACTGTGTGGTGTTTAGTGACCGTTAGCCAATGATTATTTGGAGATCGTGAGGTGCGGTCTGCATTGGCTAACGGTTTTAGAAAAACATTTTCTTTATCGTGCCAACGTTTCGACCTTTATTGAGATCATCTTCAGGGCTCAATAAAGATCGAAACGTAGGCACGATAAAGAAAATGTTTTTCTAAAACATACGTGAAACCAGACCGCAACTCACGATCTCCAAATACATAATTAAAGTTTATACTGTTGTTTGTTTATATTTGTGCGGTAATTTTATCATACCGCAGACAACAGGTGGATATCTCACAAGATATAAAGATTCTCACCAACGAGGCAAAAAGAATTAAAAGAAAAAATCCACTAAATTTTTACTATTGTAGTAAATGTTGCAAACATATTTTTTAAAGTTATTTTTTCTGCGCAAATCTACAAAACTTGTAGTTAGTTCAATAGCTTATAATCTACCAAAATTTTATAAATATTGTTTTTTAATAATCAGACCTTGACAAATGTTATGCATGATTTATTATTTGTATAAAAGATAATTTTCTTTTAGGTTTGTTAGTAGTACAACGTATGCAACATTCGAACTCATAATTTTACACTATGAGTTTATTATATAATTAGGGCAAGTACTCACATCGTCTTCAGCGTCTGTATCTGAAATTTGCATTGAATCTTTTCACAGGTGATTATTATAGAGGAATAGACGAAAAAATCGGAAAGGAGACCACAAGGAGCAATATCCGTTACTTTCCCTCTTTCCACAATATTCTCATTGTTCCTTATTTACGTAATCGTCCGGATAGACTCGGCTATTAATCCTATTTACAATCGATTTTTCGCAACGCCTCTTTCGTGAACCGCCGGCCACCGGGAGTTCCAGATTTTTAAATGAGTCTTCCAAACCTTTATCTCAGGTTCGAGATAAAAAGAAGAGAAAAAAAACGAGGCCGTATCAGGGGTCATAAAGTTGAGAAACTTTATATCTCACGGTTCGTCCGTGAAAAAAGCGAGAAAATCGTCCGATAAACGTCGGAGAAATGGAAACACTTACGATATTAACTTTTTATCCATGGATCCTCAACGCGTCTGCTTTGTTTCCACTGGCCTGTTGCGACCGTCTGAAAGAACAGGTGAGAACATCCGTTGACAACACCGGAAACACTTCCTGATCGCTCCCCTCCTACAAACGTGGAGGGAGTTGAGCGGTGTATTTTTTTTTAATATTGTTATATTCCAAATAACCTGTTGATTCGATCTCATTAAAGCATCAATGAGAACTTGGGCTAGCTTAATAAACTTCACTACGAGATAACGGGCGGTAACTGGGACAGGCACGCCCACAATTCAGTGCGTCTGACGGCATAAAGTTATAATCATGAAATATCCAAGTTAGAGCTGTTTGGGATTTAATCATAAAAGCTCCTCTCTCAATAATATAAGAGCTTCTAAGTCCCATCTACCTCGTCGACATGTTAAAATTAGCTTCCTTTTTATCCGACGGATATAATTCATTATAAACAAGATTATTAATTAAAATTATCTTTTATACTATTAAGGATTTAATTAAGGATTAATATAGTAAGGATATTAAAGTTAATTCTCAAAACATGGTGAAACTACATAGCCGAACTACTCGTAATCGATAAAGAACTGAAATTATCAAACCGCACAAATATGTGCACTAAACTGCATTAAAAATATCAGCACTGATCATAATCACTGTTTATAATAGTAGGCTAAGGTTTAGGATTGGGTTGGGAGATCACGATGCCACTGTTTTTTTGTTTTGTTTCTAGACGGTGTGGAGGATTGTTAGGGTGGGACGTTGAAGAGAGTACATGAGCTGTGGATTGGTTCGGGATGAGTGCTTGGCGTGGAAGTTGTGGAATCTTGTTTGGATCATGTCCATCACGCGTCCCATTCTAGGTCTTTGAGGATGGTTTCGTTTGTGACAGAGAAGGGAGCGTTGAAGATGCGACGGAGGAGTTTTGATAGAAAGGATTGGATTCTTTGGATGTTGAATGGCTTGGATGAATATTGTTTGTTTGTTGTGTGTATACATTGTGGATTTGGGTAGGCGTCTGAGTTGCCCGTATCTTCTATTCAGTTGTCGTCTTTTTTGTTATGTCCGTACGTTCTATTTAAGACTGCTATCCAATAGAACCAAGTTTGCGGATTTGGTTGGATGGGGATAACCTTACATATGTCCACTGGTGGGCAGGTACTTTTTCTAAGTGTGAACGTCACGTGCCGGCTTTTTTGTTCATTAACATTGATGCGCCACCGAGTACACCAGCCGGTAATGAGGTCAAGATGGTCTTGGGTTGCTTTTGCTGCAAGGATAGGGTTAGAATGTGAAAAGAGGATTGAGGTGTCGTCCGCGAAGGTCGTGATGTGTGTGTTAAGTGTAGAATGTAAAGAGGATTGATCTTAGGATACTCCCTTGGGGAACACCGGCCATAATGGGCTTGAAAACTCAGACCCAATTCCATCTTGAACCAGCGTTCCGAGAGATAGGATTTCAGGATGAGATAGTAGGTGTGGAGAAGAATACTTTTTAATTTGAAAAGGAGCGCAGGGTGCCACACACTGTCAAATACCTCTTTAACATCTACAAAAACTGCTGTGCAGTAATGCTTATTTTCTAGGGCAGAGGATATTGTGTCGACTACTCGTAACACCCGCTGGGCAGCAAATTGATGGAAGGAGATGGTGTTATGGGAATTAATCTTTTGAGCAGGACATTGAAAGATTTTAGCTAGGATTAGGAGAAGGCTTATAGGTTTGTATGAGAATAAGTTCCTGGGGGATTTGTTTAGTTTGGGGATTGAGAATTACATATGAAAACAGTGATTCCATGAAGTAATCTTACATATTTTAAGTCGCTAAGCCAAAAACCTAAGAGGTACGTTATTAAGTTAAACATTGTAAAGTAATAAAAACACATCAGAAAAAGAGAAAACGTCTAACCAAAAAACAACCTGTGTTCAAATGTCACCGCAATGGCATTCAAGAAACATTTCAAGTACAAATCACAAAATTATACATTGAACTTTTTCAATGGCGTCTTGGTTTCCAAAGAGAGATTATGTCCTTAACACAGAGTTCGGCAGATAACATTGAACTCTGAACTCATCATGAATGGATGTAGATTCTATAGATAAAAGCCCAAACCACGTTCAGTTGGGTAACGTTTTTCTAATTCTTTCGGAAGCACTGGTTTATTGGGAAGTATAACTTGATTGAGAAACGAGCGTGGGAAAATACTAACTACACGGTTAAGAAATTATGACGTTATCTTTTAATTTAATCCATTTTCGTTGTTGTTCGAATGTAATAATCTTAAAACGTAAACCTAGGATTCAACTTTATTGTTTCTGAGAACAACAATTAGGCGCAGAACAGCCTTCACTGCTGATAGAAACTATAGTAAATTTTCAGAAATAATTACTCCAGAGGCTTAAGCTATTTCGGAACCAGTCTGATAGAAAGGAAGAAGAATGATAAGACATGAGAAAAAAGGAAGATTGTGTAGATTCTGTTCAAGATTTATAAATGTTAATTGTTTTTTTGTTTGTTGAAATATTGTAACTGATGTGCTGGATTTTCTTTTACATGACTTGAACGTTGGCGGTGGTCATAAACAAGTCATCTCGAGGAAGAATAGCTAGAATAGGCGGACCAACGTGTGTATTCTATTTACTGGACTTTGATTGGACTTTCATCCCGAAGGAATGTCACTCCCCGATGTTCCCCTACCCCAGTAGGGAAAAAAGGCCCGTTCTGGGCCATCCTCCATCTTACTCCACCTTACATTTTCTACCCATGGGGTACGACAGCAAACTCCACCACACCGACAGCCTCCACATTACAATTTCCACGTCCACCTCCACTTTACATCTTAACCCGCCTTACAATTTCCACGTCCCGCTATCGCCTCACCTCCGGTGGTAAAAAAGTATCGTTTATATGTCGGAAAAAAATAAAGTTATAAATGAATGGACTTTAGACCTGGAAGGTTAGAAACGATTATCTTGTTAGAAAGAGATTATCTTAATGTAAGTAGTACGCACCTTTTTTCACACTTCAATGTCAGCTTGCATCAGAGAACGAAAACAAGATAAGAGGAAACATTTTTTTAAATATAATTTCGCATGAATATTTGCGCAGGCTCTCATCAATCAGCGCTAGAAGTATTTGAAAATTTTCCAATATGAAAGTTAAAGTTGCGAGGTGAAGGGATTGGTCAAAAGCACAAAGTACGGAGATGCGATTGTTGTCGACCTGGACTACCACGGTCTTATGAAAATCTTCAATGAGAGCTTTCCTACCAAACATTATGGACGAAACAATCTAAGTTATTACATTAAAAATTGTAAAAGTTTTTTTTATTTCACCTGTGTTATTTAAATAAGTAGTGATGATTGAAGTCGTAAATTTATTACGTCATGATTTTGAACGAGCAACGAGAAATCTAAATTTTTTTAACTTCCGCTCCGTCTCACCCACCCTCAAACTCTCACTCTCTCTCTCTCTTTCTCTCTTTTTATCTATCTATCTCTATATCTCTCTTTATCTATCTCTCTATCTCTACCACTTTCTCTCACTCTATCTATCTACCTATCTCTCTCTCTCTCTTTCTCTCCCTCCCTCTCTCTCTCTCTCTCTCTCTCTCTCTCTCTCTCTCTCTCTCTTTCTCTCCCTTCTTCCGGTTGAAACTCAAAAACTGTTGCAAATTGACCTTTTAAACAACACTTCCAAATATACGATATAGTTTTAATTCTATCTGTTTTAATTCGATCCTTAACAAAAGGTGAATCGATTTATTAGCAGCATCAATTGTAAAAGATCTGAACTCCCAGAAATTTAGGTGAATAGTTCGAAACGAGGACAATGAATGGAATGACCTTCTCCCTATCGTTGGTGACAGTTGACGAGTGATTTAGGGATGATGTCAGGGAAGAAAATGAGGAAGGATAAAAGTTCAACAAGTTATTTTGGTAACTTCAGAAAAGATTAATGAATTGATTGTTGCAAGCTGTTTTTTATTTTAAAAATATCACTTTGTCTATGTTAGCAGAATAATCAGAGTATTTCTTAGTCTAACTTCTGAGAAAGGGTGTCAGAACGATTTAGGATTTACTTGTTTTATTTAGTATATTATTTTTTTAAGTATTATACGTTTTGTTCGTTTAAAGTTAGGTGTATTTAAAGGTACGGTTCAGTTCAGATTTCACCTTTCTATGGCACGATAAGCAATGTCGGCTCTGCAAACAATGCAAAATCAAGATGTTCCGTTGAATATTTAAGAGGGCACTGTTCTTCTGGATTTGTGAAACAAGTTGGCAAAACGTATTCTCAGAGGTGCCTGTTCACCAACCGATCGATGTTTATCGCCTCGTGAGGATAAAAAAACTGTGAACCTTCAATATTGAATCGCTTTCCGTTTTTCGTGTCATTATCTCGCTCTTTGGCTAAAGATGACGCGGATTTCATGATTACAAGCGACGCGTGAGAGGCTATCTTTCCATTTCATAAGAATTGAATTAATTCCTTCTAAAAAAATGCTTTCGGCTGTTAACATAGTGACCAGTTTTTACGCAATGCTCGCTTCTCATGTCGCTGCAATCAGTTTCTTTTGTAATTAACTTATCATACAGTAAATTCGTACATTAGTTTATTTAAAGAAGCAAGGGTTTAGAAAAGAAACGAACTTTAAAAAAAAAAAAATAACGCTTAATCTTATGTATTCACTATTTCGCGATTGAATCTAATTGTTTTGAATTTGGATTTCTATAAGCTCAAATCTGCGCACGTATGTATATTACAAGAGTAATATACACATATACAGAGTTGAGCCTATCGCTTCTCGCCGTCCACCGGCAATTCAAG